GAACACAGAGGTTAGTGTGAACTGTGAGTATAAAGAGTAAAAGTGAACACAGAGGTTAGTGTGAACTGTGAGTATAAAGAGTAAAAGTGAACACAAAGGTTAGTGTGAACTGTGAGTATAAAGAGTAAAAGTGAACACAGAGGTTAGTGTGAACTGTGAGTATAAAGAGTAAAAGTGAACACAGAGGTTAGTGTGAACTGTGAGTATAAAGAGTAAAAGTGAACACAGAGGTTACAGTGAACTGTGAGTATAAAGAGTAAAAGTGAACACAGAGGTTAGTGTGAACTGTGAGTATAAAGAGTAAAAGTGAACACAGAGGTTAGTGTGAACAGTATAAAGAGTAAAAGTGAACACAGAGGTTAGTGTGAACTGTGAGTATAAAGAGTAAAAGTGAACACAGAGGTTAGTGTGAACTGTGAGTATAAAGAGTAAAAGTGAACACAGAGGTTACAGTGAACTGTGAGTATAAAGAGTAAAAGTGAACACAGAGGTTACAGTGAACTGTGAGTATAAAGAGTAAAAGTGAACACAGAGGTTACAGTGAACTGTGAGTATAAAGAGTAAAAGTGAAGACAGAGGTTACAGTGAACTGTGAGTATAAAGAGTAAAAGTGAACACAGAGGTTAGTGTGAACTGTGAGTATAAAGAGTAAAAGTGAACACAGAGGTTAGTGTGAACTGTGAGTATAAAGAGTAAAAGTGAACACAGAGGTTAGTGTGAACTGTGAGTATAAAGAGTAAAAGTGAACACAGAGGTTAGTGTGAACTGTGAGTATAAAGAGTAAAAGTGAACACAGATGTTAGTGTGAACTGTGAGTATAAAGAGTAAAAGTGAACACAAAGGTTAGTGTGAACTGTGAGTATAAAGAGTAAAAGTGAACACAGAGGTTAGTGTGAACTGTGAGTATAAAGAGTAAAAGTGAACACAGATGTTAGTGTGAACTGTGAGTATAAAGAGTAAAAGTGAACACAGAGGTTAGTGTGAACTGTGAGTATAAAGAGTAAAAGTGAACACAAAGGTTAGTGTGAACTGTGAGTATAAAGAGTAAAAGTGAACACAGAGGTTAGTGTGAACTGTGAGTATAAAGAGTAAAAGTGAACACAGAGGTTAGTGTGAACTGTGAGTATAAAGAGTAAAAGTGAACACAGATGTTAGTGTGAACTGTGAGTATAAAGAGTAAAAGTGAACACAAAGGTTAGTGTGAACTGTGAGTATAAAGAGTAAACTTGAACACTGAGGTTAGTGTGAACTGTGAGTATAAAGAGTAAACTTGAACACTGAGGTTAGTGTGAACTGTGAGTATAAAGAGTAAAAGTGAACACAGAGGTTAGTGTGAACTGTGAGTATAAAGAGTAAACTTGAACACTGAGGTTAGTGTGAACTGTGAGTATAAAGAGTAAAAGTGAACACAGAGGTTAGTGTGAACTGTGAGTATAAAGAGTAAACTTGAACACGGAGGTTACAGTGATCTATGGGTATAAAGAGTAAAATTAACACACAGTAATGTGAGTATATTCCTATGATCACTGTCTTCCATTTTATTTCAGAACTTTTGTCACCAGCTTCAGATCAAGGTACGGAATAGTACAACATTCAGCTCAAGATAATATTGGACAAAGGTGTCTGTACGAAATATCTGGTATGTCAGAGAATAAGCTGGATGGATTTGCACTTTAGAGGAAAATTGAAAAGTACAATTGACTTACTGTTATTGGGTGTATTTACCTGGAGAAAAGTGTAATTAAGGAGCAATATTTCAGTGGTAAATATATTGAGATCGTTTGGTGTCTCCTCTATATTACATTAGAGTAAGTCAGTTTTAGCACTAATTGGTTGGAAATTTTCCTTACATATTTAATCGTGATAGAGATCACCAGGTAGCTACACCACATGGCTGATTCTAGTCTTGTTTGGGTTACATTGAACACAACTGGGATGTTAACTTTCATTTCCACAAATTGGTATGCAACCATATTTGAACCATTGATAATACATTGGATCACACTCAATGAACCGTTAATTGTTATTTACCCACAATGGCATGAAACTCACTGACCTATCTGTCCTTAATATATCATAGATAAAACAAAACCTGTTTATAGGCGGCAGTGAACAAAACAATGAAGATTTCTTCTGGAAGAAGGTGAATAAAATGTTGAACAAATGTTTTTGGTAGGAGCCTTTGAACAAAACATTTAACCACCTTGTATGGGAATTTTGAAAAAAATAAAAACAATTTTAGCTTGTAAAAGAAACATTGAGCAATTAATGAACAATATTGCTTGGAAGACATTAAACAGATTAATGAACATTTTTGTATGGGAAACATTGAATAAAACCATTAGTAGTCTGTAATGGAACACTATAAACCTGCTCCATGAGACAGAAGTATACTTTACTATCTTGCTTGGGACAAATTTACTTTTAGAGAACTCTGTTTGGAAGAAATATATTTGTTAAATGAGAATTCTTTTTTAGAACGTATTTTTACACTTGTTTTATTAAAGGATTCATTACTTGAAAAATGTTCGTAGCTGAAAAATGTGAAATTTAAGAGGCAAGAAAAAATGTTCGTTTTAGATGTGTAACTTTGCTACTTAAGTATAGACATGACATTCATATAATCATGAAAATTTGATCTGTAATATATCTATATAAGATGTGTAGTAAACCTGCATCTCCAAAATGTCTGAAGGCATTTCCACAGTTACAGTAATTTGAAACAGATAATAGGTTATTTCTCAAATGAACTGTTGTGTCCTGTATAATACAGGTGTATGTAGGTATAGGACCGGTGTAGATTAGGATATCAGATGATGGACCAATGTAATACATGAAGACAGGTGTAGGACCAATGTAATACAGGAAGACAGGTGTAGGACCAATGTAATACAGGAAGACAGGTGTAGGACCAATGTAATACAGGAAGACAGGTGTAGGACTAGTGTAATACAGGAAGACAGGTGTAGGACCTGTGTAATACAGGAAGACAGGTGTAGGACTAGTGTAATACAGGAAGACAGGTGTAGGACCTGTGTAATACAGGAAGACAGGTGTAGGACTAGTGTAATACAGGAAGACAGGTGTAGGACCAATGTAATACAGGAAGACAGGTGTAGGACCAATGTAATACAGGAAGACAGGTGTAGGACCTGTGTAATACAGGAAGACAGGTGTAGGACTATTGTAATACATGAAGACAGGTGTAGGACCAATGTAATACAGGAAGACAGGTGTAGGACCTGTGTAATACAGGAAGACAGGTGTAGGACCAATGTAATACAGGAAGACAGGTGTAGGACTAGTGTAATACAGGAAGACAGGTGTAGAACCAATGTGATACAGGAAGACAGGTGTAGGACCAATGTAATACAGGAAGACAGGTGTAGGACTAGTGTAATACAGGAAGACAGGTGTAGGACCTGTGTAATACAGGAAGACAGGTGTAGGACCTGTGTAATACAGGAAGACAGGTGTAGGACTAGTGTAATACAGGAAGACAGGTGTAGGACCAATGTAATACAGGAAGACAGGTGTAGGACTAGTGTAATACAGGAAGACAGGTGTAGGACCAATGTAATACAGGAAGACAGGTGTAGGACCAATGTAATACAGGAAGACAGGTGTAGGACCAGTGTAATACAGGAAGACAGGTGTAGGACCAATGGAATACAGGACGACAGTTGTAGGACCTGTGTAGTACAGGACGACAGCTGTAGGACCTGTGTAGTACAGGATGACAGCTGTAGGACCTGTGTAGTACAGAATGACAGCTGTAGGACCTGTGTAGTACAGAATGACAGCTGCAGGACCTTTGAAGGGCAGGATACTTGGTGTAGGACCAGTGTGTTACAGGACATCAGCTGTAGGACCTGTGTAGTACAGAATGACAGCTGCAGGACCTTTGAAGGGCAGTATACTTGGTGAAGGACCAGTGTGTTACAGGACATCAGTTGTTGGACCTGTGTAGTACAGGATGACAGCTGTAGGACCTGTGTAGTAGAGGATGACAGCTGTAGGACCTTTGAAGGGCAGTATACTTGGTGAAGGACCAGTGTGTTACAGGACATCAGTTGTTGGACCTGTGTAGTACAGGACATCAGCTGTAGGACCTGGTAGTACAGGATGACAGCTGTAGGACCAGTGTGTTACAGGACATCAGCTGTAGGACCTGTGTAGTACAGGATGACAGCTGTAGGACCTGTGTAGTAGAGGATGACAGCTGTAGGACCTTTGAAGGGCAGTATACTTGGTGAAGGACCAGTGTGTTACAGGACATCAGCTGTAGGACCTGTGTAGTACAGGATGACAGCTGTAGGACCAGTGTGTTACAGGACATCAGCTGTAGGACCTGTGAAGTAATGACCTTGTTGTCCCTATCAGGCTAAGGATTACAGTTCTGTTACCTAATTTGTAAACATAATGAAGGAGTGTTGCCCATCTCTTGAACATAATCCCCAAATCTTTGATCTTCTTTTGAAACACTCCACTGATAAGAATGGGTATAATGAAAGGAGAGCTGTCAGGGCTTAACAATTAATATCATTTATACTTAGAGTGTTCATTCATGCAGATCACTATTACACTAGTCATCTACTTGAAATATTGGTTAATTTTGACTAGGTGCCAAAACAACGAGGTAATGGTTGATTGGTGACGCCTGTACAGAGAACAGACTGTGTATTGTCCCAATCACTAAACGCACCAATGTCTATTCAAATACCCAATAACGGTAGGTAAATAGGTGTTGTGCCTGCCAGAGACTTTAGGTGATCACGTGACCAGGTGTATTATTGGATTTCCCCAGGTAGGTAAGGTGAGGTAGACAGGTAGATTGGTTAGTATTGACGAGCTCTCAACAAGAGTAGAAACACACACCCAGACTACACGACGGTGGCCATGCATTTGTCCTTATTATAATCGCTGGCCGGATCCAAGATACTTCACCTCACCTGTAACGACTGTTATATTTTCGTTCCTTCATCATTCTCACCTGAACCATGGACTGTCTGGTACAGCAGCCGGTATGGACAGGGGCCTACCACCACAGACCTCTTCCCCTTTCTCACCACCATCATCATTTCTTCTCTCCTTACTACTTCCCTAAGAAGAGGTCATCTGTTTCTCCATACTACCCAGGTAAGGCATATTATAGTGACGATCGTTACAGAGTTCTCAGATCTATTTGTTGAAAGCTGCTGCTTATTTCTTGTTTGAGTTTTTGACTGTAAACATACAATAAGATATGTACACTGAGTTTGGTCGTAAATTAGTTTGGTTATAAAGTCTTCAACAGATCTCATACTGACCAACACAATACTCTAAATAAGTTTTCTTTTTTGAGTAAAAAAAGTCTTCCACTAGCTGGTCAACTCGATGTCACAAATAAGTTTATCATTTCTAATTTGTTAAACTTTTGATAAAAACTCTACCACTAACAGACACAATTACATGAATATATTTACTGATTTTGATTTGGAAATCACATAAAAAAGGGAAAGAAATTACACTGATTTCAATTTCTCACAAAAAATAATTAGTCCTTGTTCTATCAGATTAATTTTTCATCTCCTGTTGAAGGATTAATCAAACAGACATCTGAAAGACTCACATTTTACTAGCCAGTGATTTGATAAAGAAATAATTAAGTTTTGAAACGAATGAAAACAAACTACTTTCTTTATGACTTGATATTATTTTTAGCTGGATTTTCATTCCAAGTTTATGTTATTACACCAATACAGAGGAACAGAATCCTGAAACAAGTTAGGATTTTAAATCTGACTTACTCGGGATACTTGACAAAAAGTTGGTAAACAAAAGTTGGAGTAATTGTAAATGAGTGTAGTAATTTGTTTACAAAGACACTGACCAGGGTTATGATATAAAGACAGAGATTTTTGTTTGACACAAGTACTGACCAGGGTTATGATATAGGACAGAGATTTTTGTTTGACACAAGTACTGACCAGGGTTATGATATAGGACAGAGATTTTGTTTTACACAGGTACTGACCAGGGTTATGATATAGGACAGAGATTTTGTTTTACACAGGTACTGACCAGGGTTATGATATAGGACAGAGACTTTTGTCTTACACAAATACTGACCAGGTTTATGATATAAGACAGAGATTTTTGTTTTACACAAGTACTGGCAAAGTTTATGATATTAAGACTGAGATTTTTGTTTTATAAAGACACTGACAAGGTTTATGATATAAAGACTGAGATTTTTGTTTTACACGGGTACTGACCAGGTTTATGATATAAGACAGAGATTTTTGTTTTACACCGGTACTGACCAGGTTTATGATATAAGACAGAGATTTTTGTTTTACACAAGTACTGGCAAAGTTTATGATATCAAGACTGAGATTTTTGTTTTATAAAGACACTGACAAGGTTTATGATATAAAGACTGAGATTTTTGTTTTACACCGGTACTGACCAGGTTTATGATATAGGACAGAGACTTTTGTTTTACACAGGTACTGGCAAAGTTTATGATATTAAGACTGAGATTTTTGTTTTACACCAGTACTGACCAGGTTTATGATATAAGACAGAGATTTTTGTTTTACACCGGTACTGACCAGGTTTATGATATAAGACAGAGATTTTTGTTTTACACCGGTACTGACCAGGTTTATGATATAAGACTGAGATTTTTGTTTTACACCGGTACTGACCAGGTTTATGATATAAGACAGAGATTTTTGTTTTACACAGGTACTGGCAAAGTTTATGATATTAAGACTGAGATTTTTGTTTTATAAAGACACTGACAAGGTTTATGATATAAAGACTGAGATTTTTGTTTTATAAAGACACTGACAAGGTTTATGATATAAAGACTGAGATTTTTGTTTTACACCGGTACTGACCAGGTTTATGATATAAGACAGAGATTTTTGTTTTACACAGGTACTGACCAGGTTTATGATATAAGACAGAGATTTTTGTTTTACACAAGTACTGACCCGGCTTATAATATAAGACAGAGATTTTTGTTTTACACTGGCACAGTGTACAAATCTATAATTTGTTTATATATCTGTTACCAATGCCTTATATATACAGGTATATATGGTTTTAACTCCACACATGATACATTGATTGTATATTGGTTAGTTACAGGAGATACAATAGGTTTTACTTTGGTGAACTTTGAGACCAGGAGATACTCTAGACTTTTCATACTTAGACAACATTGGTGAGCTTTGAGACCAGGAGATACTCTAGACTTTTCATACTTAGACAACATTGGTGAGCTTTGAGACCAGGAGATACAAAAGACTTTATGTTGGTGAACTTTGAGACCAGGAGATACTCTAGACTTTTCATACTTAGACAACATTGGTGAACTTTGAGACAAGGAAGTAAACTTGATATTAGATTAGTGAGTTTTGGAGTCATGAGATACAGCAGACTTTTAAAGTGAACTTTTTGATGTTATTCCCTCACTTTACATGGGATGTTTCTTGTCTTCATTTACATGAATTAAATTTAAAACAAAATAGTGTGTTACAGTGGATCATAGCAATTTCTATTGGTTTGAACTCTTTGGTTTTAACTTTATGATAGGCATTTGTTACGAATTGGTGGTTTTAACTTTGTTATAGGCATTTGTTACTAATTGGTGGTTTTAACTTTGTTATAGGCATTTGTTACTAATTGGTGGTTTTAACTTTGCTATAGGCATTTGTTACTAATTGGTGGTTTTAACTTTGTTATAGGCATTTGTTACTAATTGGTGGTTTTAACTTTGCTATAGGCATTTGTTACTAATTGGTGGTTTTAACTTTGCTATAGGCATTTGTTACTAATTGGTGGTTTTAACTTTGTTATAGGCATTTGTTACTAATTGGTGGTTTTAACTTTGTTATAGGCATTTGTAACTAATTGGTGGTTTTAACTTTGTTATAGGCATTTGTAACTAATTGGTGGTTTTAACTTTGCTATAGGCATTTGTTACTAATTGGTGGTTTTAACTTTGTTATAGGCATTTGTTACTAATTGGTGGTTTTAACTTTGCTATAGGCATTTGTTACTAATTGGTGGTTTTAACTTTGCTATAGGCATTTGTTACTAATTGGTGGTTTTAACTTTGTTATAGGCATTTGTTACTAATTGGTGGTTTTAACTTTGCTATAGGCATTTGTTACTAATTGGTGGTTTTAACTTTGCTATAGGCATTTGTTACTAATTGGTGGTTTTAACTTTATGATAGGCATTTGTTACTAATTGGTGGTTTTAACTTTGTTATAGGCATTTGTTACTAATTGGTGGTTTTAACTTTGCTATAGGCATTTGTTACTAATTGGTGGTTTTAACTTTGCTATAGGCATTTGTTACTAATTGGTGGTTTTAACTTTATGATAGGCATTTGTTACTAATTGGTGGTTTTAACTTTGCTATAGGCATTTGTTACTAATTGGTGGTTTTAACTTTGCTATAGGCATTTGTTACTAATTGGTGGTTTTAACTTCATTATAGGCATTTGTTACTCATTCCAAGTTACAGAAATTAGTTGTGATAAAGACTGGAGAAGGTTATTACAACCTGCGTATTAAGTAATTAAAAAGAATCCAAAAAGTCACTGAAGGGGAAAAACCATCAATCATTTATGTGTTTTGTTGCCATGTTGGTACTTAATTATTGTTTTAGGTTGTTTGTTTTTATTGTCAGAGTTTTAGACTACAGTGTCAAGTTTATGGTATTGTTTGTTTAAATTGTATAACTGCACATGAGTAATACAGTATCTGTACATGTTATATATATATATATATATATAACTGAAGTAATATATTGTGTACCTGTACCTGAGTTATCTATTGTGTACCTGTACCTAAGTTATATATTGTGTACCTGTACCTAAGTTATATATTGTGTACCTGTACCTAAGTTATATATTGTGTACCTGTACCTGTACCTAAGTTATATATTGTGTACCTGTACCTGAGTTATATAGTGTGTACCTGTACCTGAGTTATATAGTGTGTACCTGTACCTGAGTTATATAGTGTGTACCTGTACCTGTACCTGAGTTATATAGTGTGTACCTGTATCTGTACCTGTACCTGAGTTATATAGTGTGTACCTGTACCTGTTCCTGAGTTATATAGTGTGTACCTGTACCTGTACCTGAGTTATATAGTGTGTACCTGTACCTGAGTTTTATAGTGTGTACATGTACCTGTACCTGAGTTATATAGTGTGTACCTGTACCTGTACCTGAGTTATATAGTGTGTACCTGTACCTGTTCCTGAGTTATATAGTGTGTACCTGTACCTGTACCTGAGTTATATAGTGTGTACCTGTACCTGTTCCTGAGTTATATAGTGTGTACCTGTACCTGTACCTGAGTTATATAGTGTATACCTGTACCTGAGTTATATAATGTGTACCTGTACCTGAGTTATATATTGTGTACCTGTACCTATACCTGAGTTATATAGTGTGTACCTGTACCTGTACCTGAGTTATATAGTGTGTACCTGTACATGTACCTGAGTTTTATAGTGTATACCTGTACCTGAGTTATATAGTGTGTACCTGTATCTGTACCTGAGTTATATAGTGTGTACCTGTACCTGTACCAGAGTTATATAATGTGTACCTGTACCTGAGTTATATAGTGTGTACCTGTACCTGAGTTATATAGTGTGTACCTGTACCTGAGTTATATAGTGTGTACCTGTACCTGAGTTATATAGTGTGTACCTGTACCTGAGTTATATAGTGTGTACCTGTACCTGTACCTGAGTTATATAGTGTGTACCTGTACCTGTACCTGAGTTATATAGTGTGTACCTGTATCTGTACCTGAGTTATATAGTGTGTACCTGTACATGTACCAGAGTTATATATTGTGTACCTGTACCTGAGTTATATAGTGTGTACCTGTACCTGAGTTATATAGTGTGTACCTGTACCTGAGTTATATAGTGTGTACCTGTATCTGTACCTGAGTTATATATTGTGTACCTGTACCTGAGTTATATAGTGTGTACCTGTATCTGTACCTGTACCTGAGTTATATTGTGTGTACCTGTATCTGTATAGATGCCTGTGCTGTTTCTATTACCACTCCACAACCTTATCTGTGTAGGATTGTGAATTACCTGTCCCTCAC